GCCTGCTAATAAAATCATCGGCGCAAGTTATGTACAAATCAACCAGGAACTAGGCGATTCCATTGTGGAAGATGAGCTCAAAGGAGCAAAAATGCAGGCGTTCTGTAGTTCCTTTTGGTCTTCTTCCTTTTCTGTTTCTTCAACAAGACCCAGATTTATCAACCTTTAAATTAGCTAAGCAGGGTGACTATTGGCGTGGATGCTGGGTGGTTATCCTGTTACCAGTCTCACACGCTAATAACAACCAGGTTTTTCTAACATTAGGTTCTTAACCCATTGGGTTAAGAACCCAATGTTGGTAGCTTGCTTCTGTTCCAGCCCTATAGAAAAGTGGTACAGCACGCGACTCAATGTACTTGCCTGCCAACGGAAAGCATATCAGGGATATCCACAAATTCGGTCGGTCCCACAGTTCCGTTCCCTTCGAAGTAAGTGACGCTGTAACTAGTATCACTGCATCACAATAAAATAAGTTCCACAGCCATAGTCTCGATAAAGAACACACTGAATCAAACTACTGCAACAGTAGCATAAAAAGTGGACTGCCCTATTTGACGCGGAATGGATTCATGTGGGACCTCTAATCTGAGCCTTTTTTGTACAACTAAGAAAGTCAAAATAAAGCTTGCTAGCACCACCATGGATAAGCTTTTTGGCTTTCGTCAAAAAAGGGGATGACAACCATTTATGGAGAAAATCCCACGTTGCGGGAATCATATTTCGTGGTCCATTTAAACAGTATTAAATTAGACTTATATATAAAGGAATTCGGGTGGGATTTTTTTCCAAAAATTGCTAAATGGTAAAATAAACTCAATTTATTTCCAGGAAACACTATTCGAATACCTGAAGTATGAAGTGTATCAGCGATTTCATTCCGGAATACTACCTGTTTTGTCGCTTGAAGTCGTTTGCGTTAGGTTCAACAGAACACTAGACCATTTCTTATTGTAACATTTCGTATTCATATCAACCTTTTGCGCTCATAAATACGGATAAACCAGATAAACCCTGAAAAATCCGTTTTAGCTTCCCTAGTGTTTATAAAACTTATGTGCCTTGAGTTCGTTGTAAGCCTGTCTGTGCCACCTAGCTACCTGTGGGTGCGTTAGATACACCTTCTGAATGGTGTGCGCCACCACTGTGGGGCAAAGATGTTTAGGTGTGCCTATGTGAATAAACAATTACGGGTCACCAGTTGGGCATACTGGTGACTTCAGAGCACTTTCCTTCTGCTCGCCTCTAGTCTAATTTTCTCGGTTTAACACCTGGTAGACAGCATTCAGATGGATAGAACGGGAATCGTATGCGACATTACCCGTTCTTGTTAGCATAACGGAAGTTTTTGGAGGAGATTTCCTCCTGTAAGTGAACTGGAGAAGCACATTACCGCTGTTTCATTTCAACTGATTCGCTTCACTTGCCAGACGAAGTCTCTACTTGCGCTTGGTCAGAAGGTGCAGCTAACTAGGTATATATCTTCAAAGAAAACCTGGTATTCACGATACCGCGAGTTTGGAGTTTCTCATTCAATTTGATTATTTTTCAGGCCCATTTGCCTGAAAAGTGTCTGGTCATCTGACAAAACCGTTGAGTATCGCGGTAAACATCCTGGCCGTTCGCCACTGGTCACGTTGCTCTGTTTAGAGCATCGAAAAATCACACAAACGCTTACTCCATCTGAATCTCTGTTCAAAGGCTACAACATTCATATTCCCGTAGGTGGCTATAAATCCAACATGTTATCCATTTGGGTTCTAGCAGAAGGATTTTGCCACCAATCTTCTAGACACTTTTCAGTGAAGCGACTAGTTTTAACACCCATCGCAACACAGGATCGTGGCTGTCACCCGGAGTCGTGTCAGAGTTCAGATTGAATGGTTAAGATCAGGTGGGGAAGCAACGCATTGTTGATAATGGTCCAGAGTAGTGTCTTAAATGAAAATTTCTCACATATATTGCCCCTTTTCTTGTAATTTAAAGAGTTTCATGCTGAGTCGAGGAGGTTTTGACGGACTACCCGACATCTTTCCTGCAATACAAAGTGCTTTCAGAACTGACTCTGAATTGACAGGGCTTACAAATCTCCCTCATACTTCGCACACGTAGTTTAATCCAAATTCTTCTAGTTCTGTTTAGTGGCTCTCTCAGTGCCTTAAGGAATATACCTTATCTGTTTGATTTTGGGAACAGCTGCCAAAGTTTTTATGGTTACCTTAATCTGAGGGTCGGCGAAGGGTCTGGGTCATTGGAGTTTACTTGGTGATCTTTTCTTAATATGCAGAATTTGAGTACTGGATGAACAGAACTCGTGATGAGAGCTGTCACCAAACGTTAACAGGGGTGGTTAGTTGACATCCTCGGTTAGTTTGTTTGGGATCCCCACATCCATCCAAAGAATCTGAAGTATCCCGCTATAAAATACATATTATGAAATGTCACTCAAATACAGCAGTGTTTTTAGCAGCTAGAATTTTTTTACGCACGTTCCTTAAGTAACTTGAAACACAATTCTTCTTGCTCTAACCAGTTCCTCATACTTCTTGTGTCAAAACTCTACTAAGAACCAGTATGAACTACAGAATGGGCTTTATTATTGTACGCCTGTAAAAGTTGGCCACTTCGGACGAAGAAGATAAATTAACTTCAGATCTATGACGTACTATTTCTCAGAAGTATAGCTGGGGTAGAATGGAAACAACGAATTTGCAATGAGGTGGTCAACAGAGGGGTTTGTGATGAGACACTGAAGTACTTTACTCAAAGAATGTATCCAGATGGTTGGACCATGTATATTGCACCTAAAGTTACCGTTTACTGGGACTGGCGCTGTTTTCCGTACCTGATTCACAGTTGACAGAATTCGACACAGTATAGGGGAATGCATAATGCTACAAAACGCTTGGATGGCGTTGGTGCTGGTTGCCTTCCCTGTGCTTGGCTGGGGACACTGACCGATATGTCAGCCGATCTATGTGCATTTCTGCCAAGACTGTTGGGGGTTTAGAAAACTCGGTTTTTTGTGATAAGCTAACCTCAGGTCCGACTTCCTATCCCATTTTCCAATGTACTAATAAAGTTTATTGTATTGCAGTGAAGCGCCAGTGTTTTTCTCCAGTCCTGTTGTCAATAAAGATGGTTTTCTTTTTCCTCAGTCTAAAAGATCTCTGGATTAAAAATCTCTAACGCAATCAAGTTGAAATGCTTACTGCCTACAACCTTATTGATTAATTGATTCTGTTTTCTCACTTCAAATGTACAATTAGTTCCATTGTTTGATTAATGAAAAATTGATCCTCTGTGCACGATGGTAAATCAGAAGCGACATACTTACCTAGTGCGAGAAAACACTTCGTGTTTTTCACCTTAACATGGTCTGGATCACTGCCGCACTCTCATGGCCGTTTGAACGACTATTGGGCGCTGAATGCCAGCTGATAAATCCGCTACAGCTATGTAAAAACGCCACATATTTGTTACTTCCATCCACTACGTGTGATGGAAGCTAGAGCAAATGAAAAGCAAACAGTGTTTCACACCACATACAACTCTATACATTTATTCCATACAAAGTTTCAAAGGCACTGGAGCCCTCCATATAGTATTCCACTTGCTGGGTTGATTCAGGTCCTGTAAGGAGTAAAATAAACCTGTACTATTGAATTTTGTGTTTCAAGTCACTGGGCCGTAATTTGCGGATAATAATATGAGGATGTAAACCTTCGAAGACCAGGAGAGACAGAACCGGTTAAGAGTATATGTTGTAATAGAGATAGAGATGGATAGGTAGCTGTGCCCAATCATGCCCCCTAATAACGCACTTATGATGTCACCTCCATTGGTGATAAAGCATTTGCCCTCAAATTGCCCAGCTAAACGAAGAAACCAGCGATCACCCACGCTACCTGAGCTACCAACATTTTCCCCAACAGCATACCCATTTTTCATATATTGTGCGTTTTCGCATGCTTTTAATTGGGCTATAACCACGATGGGATTGAGTGACATGTCTGATCCCAATCATAGAAGTGGGAGCACTAACTCAAATGCACACTTGAAATTAATCTTGGTCTGACAAATTTGGTGACGGACTGAGGATCACACATGTTTGCTGAAAACTGGTACTCTCATCAAAACCCAGTGATGGTGCTGGCTGTTTTCGTCAGGTGGCAGTTGATCTGCTTGTCAAGCTTGGTAATGTTTCGTCACTTAACAAGGACGCATCACCAATACGCGGCGATGATTCACACTTGTTTGGTGACTAAACGTCCGCAAGCTAATTGCGAAGCTCGGGGAACAAAACAACAGCCACCTGATCAACAGCCAATGGACAGATTATCTGCCAGGATAAGTGAAGCCAATAATCTTATCGGACGCCTGGCAGGTTATCAACAATGATCCACAATAATAATGGTGACCAACTGACTGCGGGGGCATGCCTTCGGCAAGCACGCACAAGAACATCAGTCTCCAAGTGATAAAGTATAAAATGATGTGATGCGCGTGATCTCATTAGATGCCTGCCCAACTGGCACTGCGGCATCTGACTCTGATGAAACCACTCGTGGTAGATAGAAATGAATCCGATTCAAGTAGAACATCCAGAATTTTGTGAACCAATGGCACTCGACTGAGGTAAATTACCGGATTAATAAGACAGGCTGTTTTTGGATCTCCCCTCATGGTTTAGCCAACGACATAAGCAGTAAAATTAGTACAACGCCCCTAGTGAATATTTTTGCAACCTCAGTAGAACTTGGGCAAAATTAACGTGCACCAGACAAAGGGATGAAACCGTTTCGTATTCTCCATTCAACTTATCAGTGTCTGAAACTTGCTATTCGGCGAATCGGCCGGAAATGTACATGTATTGCGACGCCAATTTACTCAGTAGGTGTCCTATAGCATCTTTTGGTCTGGGATTTTTTCCCGCATTCTTGTGATGATATATTCTGAATTATTATTGTTTTCGAAACCTACATGATGTCGCTGCAATTTGTACTCACTTACTCACTTACTTACTTACTCACTTACTTACTCACTTATTTACTTACTTAGTTACTCACTTACTTACTTACTTACTCACGTACTTACCCACTCACTTACTTGCTTTCTTACTCACTTGCTTATTTACCTACTTACTTGAACAATGCAGGTCAATGCAAACATAACTTATAATTTTCAGGAGATACTTTTGGAAAATCTTCATAGCTTGCAATACGTAAAATAAATTTCGGGGATACTGCCTGAATAAATTAATACCATGATTTTTTCATCGATTTTTCTCAGTGTGCTCACGAGTTGGGGGTTGAGTTTTTTCCTCTTCGCTTTGAAAGCAATTCAGGTTCATCGCCCTAGCTGATTGTGGGCTTGAAGCTAACAGGCAGTTGGCTTATATGAATGTTTACCACTGAATGAAAAATACCCTGGTTGTCTCGGAGTTGAACCTAGGTCACGGGATTTCAGTGGCCTGTAACACTTCAGTACTTAACCGCCAAACAGCCAGTCTGTCTTGGATTCGTTTGATTATGGGCCTTATCCACACCACGAAACTTACTACTAAGTTTTTCTCAGTAACTTGGGGAAATCAATTACCTCTGAAGCAAGACCAGTTTTGAAAATTCGTGTGATGCATTTTAGTGGAATTTGAAAGATGCAAACCTCAGCCATCTTCCAACCAGGGACAGGTTGTATTTCTTGTTTTTCCGCATGGGACCGATACACATGGAACAAGTCTC